GAATGCCTGGCAGCAGGAAGTGCCGTGAGACCCATCCTTCCCAAGGTCTCTTCCCCAGGAAGGTGCCTGCAGGGACTCTGGGACATGCAGGGGGTCCCTCCAGGGATGTGCAGTAGGGGCAGGCAGCAGGAAATGCTCACACACAGCCAGGTACATCGGTCGTTTGGAAAGAGCTCCTGTTCCTCCTGTAAAATACAGGCTCCCTTTTGCAACTTAGGGCATGTGGATGTTCACCTGAACTGAAAGACTCAAATCCTGCTGGTGCTCAAGTCATTGTGACCCTTGGAATAAGCTGGGAGGCAGAGGCCCAGCAGCACAGGCAGGACTCCCTCAGGAGCGCAGAGCCTTCACTGGCAGAGCAATACTCAGCCCATACTTGGTTCCTCCAGGGATGGCCACCAAGGAATGAGCGACTGAGCTGAATTGCTGCTGTTCTTCCCTTCACCTCTAACCTCTCTCTTCTGCATTTCCAGATCCGCAAGAGAAGCAAAGCGTGTCGTGGAGGCCTGTGGGAAAACGACGTGCTCGTGTCCATCAATGGGAAATCATGTGCTGGCCTCTCCCATGCTTCTGCCATGCAGATCATCGACTCTTCCAACGGCATGCTCAACATCCGTGTGAAAAGGTAATAACCGCCCCAGCACGGCTTCGGGCAGCACACAGATACCCACACCCAGCAGAGAGAGGGCAGGCAGGACACCTCTGGTTTCTTCATGCTCTGACTCACACCAGGAGGAGCTCCCCATGGCTAAGGTGTGGGCATCCTATATTTTTGGACCATTCCTGTGCTGCTCTCCAGAAGGAACTGTCCCCAGGTCTCCAAGCCCCTTGGGCTGTGGGGAGATCTGTTTCCAGTGTGAGGAATTTGCTGCGAAGCACAAGCTATTTACACTCCTACCAGGCAGCTGCCATGCAGTAGCTCACCACAGAGCTCAGTTCATTACAGATAAATGATTATTCTGTAGAAATAGATTTGTACATGGGATAACTCAAGGCAAAGAGTGAAGCGAAGATTACGAGAAGCTTTGCTACAGGAGATCATGGTAGTCCAGTGGGGTGTGAAAAGAGTTCCACAAAAGTAAGAGACAAGGCTCACCTTTAGGCATAAAAGTGGTCCCAGGGACTTCACTGGTTCCAGTGAGTGCCAAAGTTAACCCTGAGCCTCAGTGCATGTTGGATGAGGCCCAAGGTGCAAATTAATCATGTGAAGACAAGTGCAGCAAAGCTCTGTGAGGTCCCAGCTAATCCACACTGCTACTAAATCAGAAGGCACCTGGGCAATGTGATTTCTGCAGTCCTGAGGAGAGAGAGAAGTGGGAGAGCAGTTTTGAAGGAGAGCCATCCTAGTTAGGGTGTCTCTAAAAGGGGGATGGAGGTGGGCAGTGCTTAGAGAAAGAAGGGAGGTGTCACCATGAAGGATCCTCCACTCAGCTTCAGCAAACGTGTCCTGGTGTGTTCTGATGTGCTCACCCAATCCCCCGGCTGTCATTAAGTGTAATGAGTGAGCCCTGCAGAAGACAGCCAGAATAGCACCTGGTCCCATGCCAAGGCCTTATCTCACCACACTGGAACCTATCTGCAGCCAACAGGTGCTGGGGCAAATTCCATGGGACCAAAATCAGCACACTTGGAATTAGCAAAGTGACAAAGGCAGGATGGGAGGCCAGCATCAGATGGTCTGAGAATAACCTAACTAGCTGGCTTCATCTTGGATAGTGGAAGACTCATCAAGTATTGCTGTCTGATCACGTCTCTATTCCCACTTCATATTTCTACTCCTGAGGAAAACAGCCGTCAGTTCCTTTCAGACAGAGGTAGTGGGATGAGTATCTGGAGTATCTAAGGTCATATGTGTGTTTCCATTTGGGGCAGGATGTGTGTGGAAAGAGGGAGTGAGAGGTTGTGACCTGAGTGTACAGTGCAGAAGACAAAGAGGCTCACAAGTAGTGATGTTTGTCATTTATCTGGTCTGGTATTTAAAGAAAAGGAAGGACTTCTGTTTTTTGGGGGGGTGCCAAATAAGAGTTCATAATAACAAACGTAATTAAAATAATAAACTGACAAAGAAAACATGCCAAGTTCTTAGTTTCCTCCTGGTTTGTCTAAGGCAAGAAAATGCCACCATGGAGCTGCCTGGCTATCGTGACTGCAGTACAGTCATCGAAACCCTTGCTTGCTTATGAAAAGTCCCAGAGTGAGCAGCCCACTGATGGGACCTTTCTGACCAGCAGGGTCGCACCCCAAACAACAGCTCAGGCTTTTTTCTCTTAAGTATTTTCCATTTACTCCCATGTAGAGGGCAGAGCAAACACACTGACTGCTGCCTTTGAAGCTCGCTGTGAACTAAAGCAGCGCTGAGGACGCCCTGAGCTGCGCAGCTGACGCAGCTGCAGAGGCAGTTCCAGCGGCATCTGGAGCGTGGTGGCATGGCTAAGGCTCTCCCTGCCGCCTGCCACCGGCAGGCTGGGCCCCGGAGCGCACACTGCTTCCTCCTGGGGACCTCTGCTGTGCAGGAATTCACCTCCCGTGGAGAAACGCCTGGGAGGCTGATTACTGTTGCCTCTGCAGATCAACTGCAGATGCTCTCGGGGCGCTCTGATTTTCATCTGTTTAACACCGGGTTTGCAAAGATGCACAAATCTGGATAAGAGCATGTAGCTGATACCAGAGATGAGTCTCACCTTGGTGACTGCACTTTCGGTGCCTGTGTCCCTGAAAGGCACCTACACCCCTGTTCCTTCCTCACACGGATGCTCTCCTCCCATGCAGATGTTCCCATCCATCCCACATCATGCCTCTTTTCCTTCTCCCCACAGAGTAGTTGGCGGCGAC